CTCTACGGAGTGCCAGTATTTTAGATCCCGGATGCCGAATCTTTATCTTCTTTTTCTAAATTTGAAAAACTTTTAGGTCAATTTTTTAAGAAAATAGTGACTGAATTTTGTTTCTCTCCTTTGCAGGTTCAGATAGTGCCAAAAATGTCTAACGGGGAGGCCGAAAACAATGGAGAAGGCGCAAGCAGCTGTCCGGCCCTGGTGGGTAGAGTTGGAGACTGTTGAGGCAGTTTCTTACTTCTTGGTACGTTAATACGTTTTATATTCAAAGATTTTCTTACTTCTTCTTCTTGGTACGTACGTTTTATATTCAACACTGCTGAAATTTAGTTTATCAGTCAGTAGTCACCAGTGCAAATGTGCTATGATGTGATCTGCTTTGCAATTTTAATTTAGCTATGAGGAGCATACTTGGCATTATTAAATTTTATTTGATTAATTGAGCTATTAAACAATGTCTCACTTAAATGGTCGTAAAGATGATTTATATAAGTGATGCATTTCTGAATTTGGATTTAGGTGCTTGGCTGCTTGCTGTATGTTAAATTATCTTATTTCATTTACTGTGTTATATTGTTGGAATGTTGTATAAAGGAAAAAAACTTGTTTATCAAATATTTGTTTCAAAGAACTTTAGGTCAAATAGTTTAATGTGATGAATTTGTACACTGTTTTACATGTTTTAAAGGCATTAATTCACTCATTGAAGTAAAGAAGGTTGCAACAAATACCTTATTTCATTTACTGTGTTATGCTGTTGGAATGTTGTAAACAGGAAAAAAAAACTCAATTAATGTACTTCATTTGAATTAATTAACTGTGGATGAATGATGATTATACGTACAAAAAAGGAGGAGGTAGAATTTAAAAGTAACTTCATTCTTATAGCAATAATGAAGTTGAATTTATTGAGTCGAAAATCAAAGGTTATCATTAAAATATTTGGCAAATAAAAAGCTTTAGGTGAGTGAGATTCAAAATTTCAAAATGATTTATTTGTCTATTTGTTGCATCTTGGTGAATGATGGCTTATTCCAATTCTATTTGAATTTTTAATCTTATATTAATCTAACTTGAGCCTCTTTTACTCTCAAATTTCAGTAAGTGTTTGTTGTTGAGTGGCTTGAATAAAATACTATGGCTCCTAAATATGCATCGGGAGCTCAAAAAAGGAAGAAGAAGGAAAGAGTAGAGGCATTAATTCGAAGCCAAGTTGGAGATATGGATAAATACTTTAATGGCAAGAAAAGAAAAGAGAAAGAAGAGACATCAGAAAATTTAAGGATTGAAGAGCAACAAAATCAGAATGATATTGATAATGATAATGTGGATGAACAGAAAGAGAACAAGGAAATTATTGAACCTGAAAATATGGATGAGTCAAAACAGAATGATGAAAATCATGTTCAACATGAAGATTTAAATCAAGAGAATTGCTTCTCTTTGAATTTTAATGATCCTGGAAATTGGAAGGACATTCACATTGATCAAAAGATAAGAGACTTTCTAGTTGAAGTGGGTCCAAAAAGAGTTGATGACATCTTCTTTCCCAGAGATAATAAAGGTAGACATTTTGAATCATCACAATATAAGCGATTAATGGCAAATGGGCAGACAACTGATAGAAGATGGTTAGTGTATTCAATTTCTTTGGATAAGATCTTCTGTTTTTGCTGCAAGTTATTTAAGACAGAAAAAATGGACAAAAATATTGGCCAATTGGGTAATGACGGATACAATGATTGGCATAATATGCATCGGCGTCTTACACATCACGAAGTGTCTAAGGAGCATATAGGTTGCATGATTAGTTGGATGGAATTGGAAAATAGGCTTCAAACAAAACATACAATTGATGAAAGCATACAATTGTCCATCAACAAAGAAAGAGAGCATTGGAGACAAGTGTTAACGAGAATAATTGCTATTGTGAAAAGACTTGCTAAAAATACTTTGGCATTTCGGGGAGATTGTGAGCAACTTTATGTTGAGAACAACGGACTTTTTTTGCAAATGATAGAAATGGTTGCCGAGTTCGATCCAATAATGGAAGAACACATTC